GATTTAGAAGAATTTCATTATTTTTGATTTAAAAATTTAAGTTTTTCTTCCTTTGAAACTTCATATCAATATAATAGCAATAAAATCTAAATCCCAATACATTAGGCAAATTACATCACCTGCCGAATCCAAAGATCAATATTTATGAACAAAATATTATTATTCCTCGTTGTTGTTTTGTTGTCACAATGGATAAATATGTTGTTGTTGTTGTTTGTTTGTTCTTGGAATGCCACATTGCCATATTTGCTCTTGTCGAACATGGTACTTGTTCGACTGAGCGAAGACGAAGCAGATGGACAAGGGCATTAAGTTCCTCGCAAGGCACTGCAAAACAACATCTCGAATCTGAAGACAGTCATGGCCGGAATCAGAATGCTCGAAACGATCCAAAAACAGTTAAAACGTAATGCGCTTACTTTTGTCCTAACATCGCTTGCCATGCTGTGAGTATGTGAGTTAGTGTGTGTTTGTGTATTGGCGTATTTAGATAGATACCTACAATGAATTGGAAAAATCGTTAAATTACCAATTGCCCCTAAAAGGCAAACCAACTATTCGACCAAATAACCAGCTAGCGAACTGATCACCAGACCTGAAGAGACCAAACCTAGCCAGGCCACCAACTGGCCAACGGTGGTTAGTTGGATGGCTGGCTGACTGCATGGTGGTTACTCGTTTTTAGGACAACAATTTATTTGTTTGGTGCACGTACGGTTTCTGTTTTGGCGGACCTGTATATCTGACTCTGTGTGTTTGTTTGTTGTTCTTTTTTTTTTTTGGTATCTTTCTATGTGTGGTATTACTATTTATCTAGAGGCAGGTAAACATAATCAATAAGACAACAGGGACAACATACCAAACATATGCACACAAACACACACAAGTATATTTGTATATATGTATGTGTTATGAACCAACACTCCAAATAGCAAACATCTACAATTATCCATGTTTTCATCCGTCCGGATATTCTAGAAATGGTACTGAAACACACACACACAAACAAACACCAGTGTATTACAGCATACAGTATTAAGCTGGGCAATTATATAACATATGTAAAATGGGTGAGAAAAGAAATAACTATGAACTGGAATTAGAATGAAAACAAAGCTTAAAGGGAAGGAATTTCAAATTTCTGTATAATGTATCCAGCTGTGAACTAGGGACTCTCAAACAAACGCCCATTGTCTTCTCAACTTGGATTTGTGCATATCATTTCAAAAAGTATACCGTTAAGCTGTTTTACAATGGATCTGCGTGGGAGAAGGAGTTCAGGACGTGAATATGTCTTATTTTGCAATGCATCAAAATGGCCTAGTAAGTCGTCAATTATTTCTGTTCCTTCTTGCCTTCGAACAGTTCACAGGTGTCAGAGTCGTCATATCTTTATTTGGACGTTGGACCATGGAGTGCCGGGTCATAATGTCCACCGCTAGATTTAGTTCTGATTTCCATTTTCCGAAAGTAATGTTTTTGAATCAGTTGAACGAAGTGGCACAGTGGTAGTTTTATCGAGCAACCGATAGTTTTCCTACTTATGATGGAACGGTATCCTGCCAGTTCGTCAGCGTTTCGAAATTTCGGTATATCTATGCGATTTATCAAATTCGGTATATCTGTAGCCCTCCATTTGAGATATTTAAAATTTAGGTTTTTAGACTTTCCTTTAAACTCTTGCAAAATCTGCCAACCTTTCTAACCGAATTAGTTATAATTATGTAATTTGAGACCTCAGGGGTCAAAATACCTAATTATGAAAAATTTCAGAGATAGGTCAACATTTTGAAAGTAATTTACAGAGGTCCACTACATTTAAGCTTCTTGATGTCGACCTTATATTATAGTACTATTTTCTGCTTTAATGTCATATATCTCAAGAGTACCTCAAATCTTGTAAATGTTGGTCTATCTCCAAGGTGAAGCTTACAAAGATTCTGCCTCGAAGTTTGGTGTATTACACTCCATTATTTTGTGACTTGGTGCTGTTAGGATCCGCACTTATCTGCTAATCATGCTGCTGTATTGGTTGTGGCTGTGCCACAAAAACACCAGAATCCAAAAAAACAAAATCCGTACGGCAAATATACTCGTTCCAAAAAATAAAGACACATCTTAAAATGAACAAAAAACCGAAGGCTGCACAAAATCAGACATTGTTTTTATTGTTGCTCTTTGTTGTACTTAGGTTTTCATATGAATTAAACTAATAAATATACAACAAGAACAACAAAAAAAAAAAAAAACGTTTGCCTAAAACAAACACTGAAGCCACAGAGCATACATTGGTGCAAACATGCTTACATAGACAGACCCACGATACACTAGCGACAAAAATACAGGACGGAGGGACATGGACCTGCCTGTCTGCCTGCCTTACAGCGCGACCTACCGCCTGTACACTTCCATGGACAAACGAAAAACGTGAAACACTTGCTATTTAAGAATTTCCTAACGATATTGTCTTGCGGTTGTATTTGTTGTAGGCAGACATGGCACCGGCGTTGCTCTGTTGCTCACTTGCTGCAGCAGCAGCTCCATGAAACAACTGGAGCCAAACACTCACCAAAAAACAAAGAACAGTTAGATGGATAATGTAGACATTTGATTGCACACACAACAACTGGTTTGCAGGCGCTGCAATGCTAGCTGGTGGCACTCACCAGCCAACCAACCAACCAAACAAGAAACCCCAAAAACGGAGCATCAAGTGCAGCAATCGCGTTATTCGTGCCATAGTCTCGGCTTTGGCTGCAGCCTCCTTTGTAAATACGAATTTAGTGAAAAGGTTTTCCCAACTGCAGCTCTGTATCTACTGTTGCTGGAACTGTTCTCGCTTCTGCTCTGGCCAATGCAACTGCAGCAATTTATCAAAGCGAAGAAAGGTACCTTGCCACGCTCGTGTAAGCATTACCGCACTCAGAACTAAATAGGAAAACAAACAAAAAAAAAAAAAACGAAACAGCAACCTTTAGCTGGAGCAGCAACAACAACAGGTTGTTGCACGTTGTTCCGTATTTCTTTCTTTTCGCTGGTTAATTTTTGTGTTGTTGTTCCTTTTGTTTCATTCCATCTTTTTGGCGATTAGAGCAGAGCAAAACTAGCTGGGCCGTTATAGGAGTACCTTTGTCAATAACCATACAGATAGATGGTGTCTTGTTGTTGTTGCTCTCGTTGTTCTTCGTCTAGTTGCAACAGAATGAATGAAGCGATAACAAACAAAGTGCATAGCGTAACTAGCAGAAGTTAGCAGTAAAATGCCATTAAAAACTGTAAAAACTGGACGCGTGCGCAGTTACCGACCGGGTATCAGAATGTTCCTACGTTCCTATGCAAACTTGAAAAGATTTATACAATTCCGATTTATACTTGTAGAATGTGTGGTAAGTTGTATGAGGTAGAAATAGACACACATACAGACGTACACAGCTGCATCAATGCATATGCCATGCAAGTGAACAGTACTTGCTGCAACTCACAGTTCGATTTAAAGTTATTTATTGGTGGTCAATACTTGATTATTTTTATCGATACCTTTGAGATGAAATAACGGTTACACTCAATATTTTCAAGAAGGAAATTGAATTGTGTAAATTTTGTTTTTGTATAGGTTGGTGATTTTGAAAAAGCATTGAGATGAGTGAAGTTTCCTCTCGGCTAGAAAGTCAAACTTGACTGGGGATCCCAAGAGATTCAGTGTAAGAGATGTGCATTCCACATTGGACAAATATTTAACTCAAATTTGTTTAACAAAATCCAACATTTATTTGACACATTTTGTTTGTTCAAATAATTATCAAACATTGTTTGCATCATGATATTGTTCGATCAAACTATGCGAGAACAAAAAGTTTTTGAAACAGACCTGTGCTAGCAAAGAGATCAAATAAAAAAACCCAAAAATGAATGTTTTCCACAATTATTATTGAAATAAATTATTGAAAAGAAGTATTCATCATTAATACGTTAACACTGAATCGTTGATAATTAAAATAGCTAATAAACTGATGAGGAGAAGTCGTCATGTTGAGCAGTCCTAATGTAATTAAAAATAATATAGAGCGACAGAGAGAAAAATAATGTTGATAGGAAAAGAAACGTTGAGCCCTATTTGTGATGGGAAAGGTTCAAATTTATTGCGTTGTTTAACTGAGGTTAAATCTTCAAAGTTCTATCTGTTTTATAGTAATGATTTTATCAAAAAGTGAATCTAATCCAGATTTACTTTCATTCTGAAAATAGAAATGTGTGTAAAGTATAGGTAAACAAAATTTGAACTGACAGACAATAGGCTACAATTACCTTTTCCCGTCAATTTTCCGAAATATTACACGAGTCACCCATTGAGTAGACTTTTACACTTATTAAGAAAATGTTTACATGTTTAAATAAGTGATTCATCACATTTCGTATTAGTCGAGTCAAAATAGAGAATAGACAAAATACTAGTAGTCGAAATGACCAAAATTTGCTCAGAGCTGCTTTTTGTTAATGAAACACTTACACTTACGAATAAAGATTGAAGAGTTACCATTGATCCCATATGAGCAATGGGTAAAGCTGGCCATAGACGAACGATAAATTCGAGCAATTTGTTGGGTTTGTGGACGCGTTTTTACGTCTGTGGGGTAGTTTGCGAACAAATCATACGTGTGTGGGCTACTGCGCAAATTTTAAGCCATTTTGCCATTTCAGTTGCTCTTCAACCATTGTAACGAAAGGTCATGTAGTGCACACAAAAAATGGCAAGCAAAGACTTTATGATAGAATTTTTTGATGTGTTAAAAAATGAAAATGCCATTTGGCAAACAAAAAGTGAAAAATATAAAGACAAATTAGAAAAACAAAAATCATGGGAAAAACTCGTAACAAAATGGAAAATTTTTATAATCCCTTGGAGTAAGCATTTCCATATTTTTGAGCGTTGCTACATGGGAATGCTTTTTTCTTTCGAGCAGCCACTCTTCACTCCATTTTCTTTTTCTTTTTTTTTTCGATTTTTTTCTTTTCTTGTTTTTTATTTTCCATGTCGAAACATGTATATATAATTAAAAGCGCAGCTGCATCAGCCACTGCATCGTCGCACATGTTTTTTTAAGTTTCCTATCAACAGAAAAAACCAATTGTTAAATAAAAAATTTTCTGCCACAAAATTCAAACAGAAGCACAAACCGAAGTTCAAACACAAAATGAACATCATCCGCTTCGTAGCATATGCTTACTCTTCAACGTCGGCCGAATTATGATTTGTTCGAGCGTGTGTGGAGAAACGATATGCAATAAATCGCAGCAATAAATTTGCAAATCACACCAACAAATCGTTCGTCTATGGCCAGCTTAAAGTAAAGGGACTATCCGAACATGCCAACTTCGAATTCTTGTCTTTTTATACCCTACACCACAAGGTGGTCAGGGTATTATGTCTTTGTGCATTTGTTTGTAACAGGCAAAAGGAAACGAGATAGACCTATAGTTCCACTTTCTGAGTTGATTTATGCATGTCAGTCCGTCTGTCCATATATTCCTGTGAACAAAATGCAGGTCGCATTTATTATCCGATTGAGATGAAATTTTCCAAACAACATTTGTTTGGCCCAAGGACGAACCCTATTGAAATTGGAGATAATCGGTAAAAAATTAGATATAGCTCCCATATATATCTTCGTACGATTTGCCTTTTATTGTGCACCAAACATGTAATGTCAGCCCGAATAGTATGGAATTTTGCATATACAACCAATTTAGGCTTGAAAATAAGTATGCCAAATTTGATCGAAATCGGTTCAGATATAGCTATAGCTCCCATATATATTGTTCATCCGATTTGTTATTTTTGTCCTCCGCAGCCGTAATATGCACTCTGTAACAACAATATTTGGGGAAATATATCAAATGCAGCTCAGAAATAACTTTGCTAAATTTTATCGAGATCGGTTCAGATTTGGATATAGCTCCCATATATAACTTCGTCCGATTAACATTTTATAGTGCACCAAACGTCTAATATTTGCCCAAATGAGATGGAATTTGGCACATACGACCGAATTGAGTCTAAAAGGTAGTATGACAAATTTGGTGAAGATCGGTTCAGATATAGCTATAGCTCCCATATATATTGTTCATCCGATTTGTTGTATTTGTTACCCATAGCCGTTATATGCACTCCGTAACAACGATATTCAGGGAAATATATCAAATACAGCTCAGAAATATTTTTGCCAAATTTTATCGAGATCGGTTCAGATTTGGATATAACTCCCATATATATCTTTATCTGATTTCAAATAAATTGTGCACCAAATGGGCAATACAAGCCCAAATTTAAAAGATAAAAATGTTTCGGCATATAGCTTGTATGATTGAATTCTTCCATAACAACTTTTAATTGTTATGTGGAGCTCAACTAAATTAGCAAAGTGGTGTAGGGTATCATAAAATCGGCCCCGCCCGACTTTAGGACTTTAGTTGTAGGATAGTTTTTAAAAAAAGTAGTGGGGTCACGTGTAACAAAAAACGTTCATATTGGAAACTTGAAATACATTTAAACTAACCTATAACAGCTATATGTTAATCGATTTCCACTAAACTAGGCTGAGGTAAATTCATGTAGTATTTATGTAAATATCATTGCTATGGAGTGCATGTTATGACTTTCAGAATAGTTATATATAAAACCGAATGAAACTACTTTATTTCATCAAAAGTGGCGTCCTCGATGTAATATTTACATCAAACTAGATGGGAAATATATGTGGTAGACATATCCAAATTTGAACCGATCTCGACAAAACTTGGAAAAGTTATTTTCAGGATGTACCCAATATCTCGTACGGGAAATCCCTGTTATGGAGCGAACAAATATATCCATAATCTGAACCGAAAACGATCAAATTTAGCAGAGATATTTCTGAGCTGTATCTGATATTTAGTACCATATATAATTTTTTTGGAGTTTCGTAATATGGAATGTGGGGAACACAAAATCAGATGAAATATGTATATGGGAGCTATAGCTATATCTGAGCCGATATTCATCAAATTTGATACACCTTTTTGGCTGAAGTGTACAATAAACGTCAAATCGGATAAATAGGGAGATACATCCTAATCTGAACCGATTTCGATACAATTTGGCAGAGATATTTCTGAGCTGTATCTAATATCTGGCACCAAATGTAATTGTTATAAAGTGCATATTACGAATAGGATGAATCATATATATGAGAGCTGTGGCTATATCTCAACCGATTTTTACAAAATTTTAAATACTTGCTTCTGGGATAAATTCGATCGGATGTGTAGAAAATCATTCTATTTGGGCGAATATTACACATATGGTGCACAATAAAATGGAAATCGGGTGAAAATATAGTTGGGGGCTATATCTAAATCTGAGCCGTTATTCACAAAAATCGTCAGACATACTTCAGGACTAAACCTTGCTGTCCCTGGGTCAATCAAATGATTTGTGGAAAATTTCATCTCAATCAAAAAATGAATGCGGTCTCTACTTTTTATACAAAAATATATGGACAGGATAAAGGGAACTATGGGTCTATCTCGTTTCCCGTCGGTCTTGAACGTTAAAATAAAATATTCACCTATCTCGCTTCTCACCCCGCAATAAGTCCAATGTAACGCGTGCTGTGTGACATGCGGCACCGTCTTCTTGCAATCGAATGCCATAGAAGTCATGCTCTTGCATCTTGAGCAAAACAAGTTGGATATTATCCCACTTTAGCGCTTACCATTCACAGTTACGTTACTATTCGCAGCATCTTTAAATAAATACTCTCCGAAGCATTGGGAGCTTTTCTGCTCCTATCGGATGAATTTCACTATAAAATCGACAATTCTCTTGATTTCGCATCCAATCAAAAATGAGCTTTGTCCAATAATGGAAGAAGCGGGATAAACTTTCTTACATTTTGATAAGTTCAATGACTTGCAAGAGTTGTTCGTTTGTAAGACGATTCATGGTTAAATAATAGACCAAAATGAAGAAGCTTGACAGAAGAAGAAGTTTGAGCGCTTTAAACCAGTGTTGCCAAAAAGATAAAGACATTTTTTATTTTGAAGAAGTATTTATCCTGGTTTAGGAAACAACGCCATAGCTTAGTAAAAATAAGGCCGAGTTACTGAGAATCAGGCCGTTATTGTGATCTGTAGCGTATTTGCTCTTTAACAGGGATAAAAAGACGGACACACTATCTTGACCAACTAGGCTCGCTGAGATATGATGATTTATATACTAAATAGTTCATATAGGATCAAAATTTCGAGTCGTTACAAAATTCTGGTTCAAATCAAAATTCTAATATCCCCCCCACAGGGGCAAGAAACCTCTCCAAAATTTGGTCAAAATAGGTTTAGATTTATATGTAGCACCCTTATATAACTACTTCAGATAAACTGGGGAGTGGTATTTCGCTTTGATATTAATTGGTTAAATTTACTGAATATATTTTTAGTCGGAACCGTAGTTTCTTTACTGATTGAATGTATCTATCTGTGTAAATCGGAAAATACCCGATGTCACAGTCGAGTTTTCCACAATTGTCTTACAATCCTACAAAATTGAGAAAAATCGAAAAAAGTTTATTGAAGTATAGCGAAAAATTCTATTTAATAACGACTTTAAACATGTCTAAAAAATAATTTATTCAAACTTAGATCAACAGAATCGATGTTTAAAACTAAATTGCTCAATATTTATTTTTTAAACATTTCAAAATAGTTTAAGCTTTAAATGTTATATCTAATACTTGTAAAATGACTAAAGGGTGTCAGATTGTTATTCATTCCAACTAACCGAACTTATGTACACATACATACATCCGCCTATAGTCGTCATTAACACACAATTCCATGACCTTCGTTATTTTATTTATATTCGCTAATCTACTTTACTTCAGCTTATTGAATATCCATTTCTGCTATGGATTTTTATTGTTTTGAAATGGGGGCCAGTGTAACAAAAACAGTTTGGGGTCGCCTGCTGAGCGGTTCTTCTAATGACTTACTGAACTGTATATGTAAATGAGTATGTGTGCTACAACAAACAAACGCAGGCATAAACCCACCCGTATTACATCAGATTCATCCATTTAACACATATCGTATTGTTGTTGTTGCTGCTGCCGTTGTTGGGCATTGGCCGAGCCCGGAGGTTTAGATGAAAGTGAAATTCGGTTCCCAACAACAAATTATGAAGTCGCGTCTTGTAAGCCAGTCAATTCACAGTGCCGACTGACAGCGGCTACGACGGACTGGCAAAAAACCCCGGCGTCCACTGACTGTGAATAATCATTTAGCATTTGTAACTGGATTTGGATTTGGCACAGCAACAGCAACAACAACAGCACAACACCGACCGCACAACAGTTAATACCGCGTGGTGTTAATGTGTGAGTGCGAATAACTTTAAAATCTGTTTCGTACCCAGTGAAGGTCTTTTGTGCTAAAATAGCTAAAAACAAATTTACATTTCGCTGGGTTTTGTTTTGTGCGAAACCGCGTCCAAGCACCGACTCAGACACACACACACGCGCACAAGACACCTCACTGTTTGTAAATTTTAAGGTCTGAATTTAGTTTTGTGAGTTTCGACTGATTTCAGCTACAACGAACGCATCTATTAACTCGCTAGTGTTTTTTGTTATACAAGGTACACATTTACATATTTTGTAAAGTCGTTTAAAAGTTGTTTCATAAATGCCCTACATTGGGCACTGTGTATTAAATGGAAATGAAGAATTTTGAAAAAAAAAACTATTGAATTTGCCTTGTAGGAGATGCTTAGGTTCTCTATGAGCTGTTGTCGATAGAAAACACTGTGGGTTATAAATGATATCTCTAAATTTTCCATAATGTATGCATATTTATGAACATTCTATTGGACACGATTTCAATTAATGTGAATCGAAACTAGCATATTTTTTGACTTTAACAGTAATCTTAAATTATCATTACCAACTATTAAATGGTTTCTAAATTAAATATTATTAGGTATTATTAGGTAATAAAGCAATAATTTGTACAAATTATGAGTAAATGCGAGAGAGTGAAGAGAGTAATTCTTAAAACTGAAATACGAAGAGTTTACAAACAATTTCTCAGTAAGAATTATTTGGTATTGTCAGCTGATTGAAAATTGAGGTCAATAATTAAATTATTTTATTTATTTTTATACCCCCCACCATAGTGTGGAGGGTGTATTAAGTTTGTCATTCCGTTTGTAACACCTCGAAATATACATTTTAGACCCCACAAAGTATATATATTCTTGATCTGCATAAAATTCCTTAACGATTTAGCAATGTCCGTCCCTCTGGGGAAATC